GAGGGAGGAGGGAGGAAGGGGCCGCCGACGCGGGCATGAGCTGGACGCGGCGTGCGCTGCAGGGCTGAGCCGACATGAACCTGCACCAGGTGCTGACCGGGGCCGTGAACCCGGGCGACCACTGCTTCTCGGTGGGCAGCGTCGGCGACCGGCACTTCACGGTGAGGGGCGGGGGGGGCGGGCCGCAGCGCCTGGCCCCGCGGTCCCCGGCCCCAGGGCGGGCAGGACCGGTCGGCCGTGGAGGTGCACAAGCCTGAGGTCGGGAGGACGGTGTCCTGGAGGTGTTTGTCATTTCAGTCCGATTTCCTTGGGCCGGGTAGTTTGCCCGAGTCGTTTTCCCAAACATCCTGGTTGAGAAACGAATTGGGGGCTCTTTATGACACCGTGCCGAGGCCCAAGTTACCCACTTTAGAGAGAGCTGGGATCCGCGTCAAGTTGGCATTCTAAGTGAAGGTCAAGGCTTTTTGTAGTTAAAGAGTGGGCGACTTAAAACAATTAGGAATTGTTTGCTGTCAGCGACGAGCTCTGAGGAAAATAGAGTGAACACAGAGTTTTCCGTTTGTTTTTCTTCACATTCACTGAGGACTGACTCTGGAAAGAAAAACATAGTTTTCGTAACTAACCCATTCCTACCATCCTTTGAATTCTATCTGTAGCAGTCTAGTCGTCTTGGAAAACTTTCGTATTGTCCCAGTTCACTGGACTAAACTTGCTCTGGCTAGGTTAAGTGTGACTGATAGTGACTTCCTTTGCATTGGTCTTCCCCAGAGGACCCCAGACGACTTGCTGCTTATCAGTAGTGGCATTTTCTGACATGGCTACAGTTTTTGGAATAATTTCAAACTGAAAGTTAGTATTGCACACAATATTCTTGAGCTAAATATGTTTATAATGCTGGTGGCTTTTGCTACAACTTGTGGAGATATCTTTGTAGTTATGATGGAAATTAAAACTTAAACTTGCATAAGTAAGCAGCTTAAAAAATTCCCCAGGTTTAGGACATTGACATTTCTAATCTAACTGTCTAGCTTTTTTTTTTGGTGGCTTTTGTCAGAATAAATAATACTCATTATTTAACATGGTGTAGGCATTTGATGTCTGAATTGTTCTTTGAGAATTGTGCCTACCAAGTACTTTCGAACAGAGATTGTACCTCCCCTGGTCGAGTGACTCATACACACTCTAGTTTGCCCTTGACACTGCTGGTTGTGAGATTTAGTTCTAAATGTTTGCCTAGCCTGAATGCTCGGGAAGAGTGAGCTCTGAGGGTATCGGTGAGCAAATGTCTCCCTGTAGCTGGACATTGCTCTCTGCTAGTTAGAGGTGGAAAGAAATAGCATCCTTACATTTTCCTCGTGGGGGTTTCCAGAAAGGAATGTTTCAGTCTCTGCTGTCTCCAGGGTTATATGAGTACTCTCTCCAGCATAGTGAACTTTTCCTAGGGAGGCATCCAGACTCTATGCAGGTAGTGTCCTTGTTTTTGTTTTTTAGAGACACTCTTGCCCTGTTGTTCAGCCTGACTTTGAACTTGCCGTCCTCCTGCCTCAGCCTCCCCAGTACCTGGAAATGTGTGCGCCACCGTGCCTGGCACTTCTGAACTTCAGAGCATACATAATAGCCTATTTTCACATCAGGATGTGTCTCCTGTGTAAGACCTTGTCTCCCCGTTATTTTTAATGTGCTAAAGATTCTCTTTGGTCATCCTGCACCATCATGCAGCTTGTTGCTCAGTTCTGCTGAATTTTGAAGTCTATTTCAGTTGAGCAGGTGTTACTCATCTCCCACCAAGCCTACTGCAGATTTTTCCCAGATCTCTGGAAACATTCCATTCAATATGCTTACAAAATACAGAAATACATGTTTGGTGTAGTGTGCAAGAGATTCTGAGGTCTCTTTAATTTTGGTGGTAGTCGAAGGATTAGCAGTCTTGTTTTTCCTCTGCAGCCAATCCATCTTTGACTCTTAACATTAAATGGACTGTTCTGTTACAAAGGTTCTTACTTTCATAGCCCTGGACAGTTGGATCCACTTTAAATTGACCTCTTTTGAATTGGTCCTTTTTCTTCTCATGTTGAAAAGCAGATCTGTCAACCTGTATATGCCAGATGCTTGTCCTCATTCCCTTGATCCTGGTTGGCTGGGGAAGGCTAGGGGAAGGATCAAGGTTTGAGACCTTGTTCAGAGAGCTTGCCCCTCTCTTTCTTTCTTTCTCTCTTTCTTTCTTTCTTTCTTTCTTTCTTTCTTTCTTTCTTTCTTTCTTTCTTTCTTTCTTTCTTCTCTTTCTTTCTCTCTCTCTCTCTCTCTCTCTCTCTCTCTCTCTGGCTCTCACTCCTCTCCCACGCTCCCTTCCTCTCTTGCCCTCTGTTCCTCTCCCTATCTATTTCACGAAAGAAAGACACTTTTTAAAAAAAAATTCTTTATTTAATTTTATTTATTATTTTTAATTTGACCAGAGAGACAGAGAGGGAAAGGGAGAAAGCAAGCCACCAAGTCCAGGACTCAAAACCGTGGTCAACCACGGAGGAAGTTTAGCGCCTTAAACATCATGCCACCTGCCGGCCCAGAAAGGAAGCAGAATCTGTTGTTTATGCCTTGAGTTTTGTTTTTAACCATTTAAAGTTTTGGTTTTTCTTTGACAGGAAGATAGCAAACATTAATGGACTGAAAGGGACTGAAAAAAATCTCTTTTAGTTGCAGTTTTACCTGAGGTAGGGACATGAGATCTTCCTCTCAGAGTTTTCTTTGAGGAATTCTTTTATCCCTTCTGGCACTTTATGCCATTTCCTAAAATAGTCCTGTGTCTGTAATTCCTTCCTTTGCGTATTTGCAGATAATTGTCTGTTCTTGCTTTAACTGTTAGGCCATGGGGCCAGCTCTCTAGTATTTATTCTTCAGCTGTACTGTTATGAGGTCTTTTTAATTTTCATTTTCTGCACATGTGTGCAAAAGTGGCTGTCTTTCTGTGACAGGCTTATTTCACATAACTATCTCCTTCAGGCTTGTGCACTTACCTTCAAATGACAGTATTTCATTTATTCATTTTTACTTTTTACTTATTCATTTTTAGATTTTTCCATAGGGCTTGTGTGCTTGGTGGAGAGTGACCAGGAGAGAGGGAGAAGGAGAAACACCCCCCACACACACACTCAAGGAAGGATGGCTGTGCCACAATTCAGTCCTTTTTCCTTTCAGGATTTGGGCACATATGCACTTTTGCCTTATGTGTTTTTCAAGCCACTGGGTCTGGGACTGGAGCCACATGGTTGTTTATGTGGGATCTAGCACCTTACCAACCACACTACCTGCTAGGCTGGTTTCATTCTTTTTTAATTGCTGAATAGTATTCCACTGTGTTTATATACCACATTTTCTTTATTAGCTTTTTTCTTTATTCATGATAGAGCATGTGCACATGCATATGAGAATGTGTGCATGTGTGTAAGAGCACGTGAGCATGTACAAGGGAGAGAAAGAAGAGTACTTTCTGCAGGATCCAGTCTTGCCATGATCCTCTTCTAGGCTGACAGATTTTAGATGCTCATGACATGTCTCAGGCTGACTGAGCCTGGGGTTGGACCGACAGTCACCTTTTGGGATCTGGCCTCCCTTGAGCAGTACATTAACACTGCACCTCATAATCGGCCCATTTCTCTGCATTTCTTAGTGGACACTGTGGTTGAGTCCATACCTTGGCTATTGTTAGTGGTACCACAATAAACACGGGTCCAGGTACCTTTGCAATATACTAATTTCCTTTCTTTTGGATATCTGCATATGAGTGGGGTGGCTAGATCATACAGTAGTTCTATTTTTAGTTTTCTAAGGAACCTACATACTGTTTTTCATAATTGTTGTACTAATTCACATTCCCATCAGCTGTGTAAGAGGTTTTTCCCCTTATCCTCCTGAGTGAGTACTCATTACTTATTTTTGTCTTTTTTTAAAAATTATTTTATTTGTCATTATTATTTTAAATTTGATCAGAGAGACAAAGAGAGAAAGGGAAAAAAAAAGGGAAAGTGAGAAAGCAAGCCACCAGGTGTGGGACTCGAACCATGGTCGGCCATGTGGGAGTGCAGCACCTTAACCACTGCACCACTTGCGGGCCCCTGTTTTTGTCTTTTTGACAATAGTCATTCTGACTAGAGTGAGTTGAAATCTCATTGTCATTTTGATTTACATTTCCCTGATGATTAGAGATGTTAAGTTTGTTCTTGCCACAGGGTACATGTGCTTGCTAGAGAGAGACAGACAGTGAGAGAGCAAGTGAGAACTCACCCACCAGAGGGGAATGGTCATGCTATAGTCCCTTCTCCATTTTCCTCTTGGGATCCTGGGCTGCATGCATACATGTGTGGCATGATTTTCAAGGTCCATGACTTGAACTGTGGTCAGCCATATGGAATTCCAGCACCCTAACCACTGTGCCACCTGCTGGTCCCAAATGTTGAACATTAAAAAAAAAAAAAAAAACCTATTTGTTGGTTATTTGTAAGTATCGTTTTCAGAAATGTCATCTCAGATCATTCGCTTTCTATAAAGTTAGATATAATTAATTAAATTGGTGTCTTAAGACAGATTTAATCATTTAGATTTGATGGCAAATAAAATGTTTTTATCAAAATTTCCTTAAATATTTTCAAAGTTAGTTATACATTTTATCATCATCATCAGGTGAATAAGGGATACCGAAGGTATGCTAAGCAAGATTTTTTTTTTTAGTTTTTTCCTCTTTATTAGATTGCTTCCTTGACTACTTGGCTACTGCTTTGTTAATTTCCTACCTGATATATAGTGAAAGTATGTTATCTGGTTTTGATCTGTTACAAGTTTTGTTTCAAGAATAAAAAATACTGTTTTTTAAAGACAATAAGTTAAAAAGAGGCACAATTGGGAGCCAGCAGGTGACGTAGTGGTTAAGGAACTTGACTTCCACATGGCTGACAATAGTTCGAGCCCTGGATCTGGTGACTTGCTTCCTCTCTCTCTGTCTCTCTCTCCCTGCCTCGCAAATCTTAAAATAATAATAGTAATGAAAAATAAAATAAATCATTCTTAAATTTTTTTGAAATCTCATCACTTTTTTTTTTTTAATGACCTAGACCAGAACTTCCAGCACACTGCTAAATAAAGTAAAGAGGCACAATTGGGAGCCAGCAGG